GCCTATTTTGGTACTCAAAATTGTAGTTTTCAATCCTCTTAATTAAAAAAAAATTTGGGGGCTCCGCACCCCCCTCTGGCCCCCGGGCTAGAATTGAAGCTTGCTTCGTAATGGAGCAAATCACGTTTCAAGGAGTGAAATAGAAATGATATGCTCCTTAACAACTTGTGTGAATCATTCAACAACACTATCATGAGTACACTGGAGAAGTCTATCTCACCATGCTTGAAGAGAGAAGAATATATTTGATGAAGAATTGCAGCTCGGAGGGAATTTTGCAATAAATGGAGTGCAAAAGTTGGACCTGGACTGGTGAAGATTTTACAAAAGAATAGTACACTTGCAAGGGCAGAATATGCTGATTACTCATGAACCAGGAATTCCAAGTTAGGCACAATGCGAGCCAAACTCTACATGCTATTGATATCAATGCAAAGACATGTTCATGTTGTGCTTGGTAGTTGACTGGGATCTCTTGTTACCATGCCATTGCTTCACTTCTTTCTCGGGACATTCATTCTATAACAGACTATATTGATGACATCTACAAGGAGGAGGCATATCTTCGGATATAAACAGCCTCCATTTTCCCCATTATAGGTCCAGATTCATGGCCTAACATCGGTTTAAATCCACTACTCCACTTTTCTACACGAAAAGGTTGGAAGAGGAAGACCAAAAATTAATAAAAGGAATGAGGCAAATGAAAGGCCAAGAACAAGTAGCACAACGACTAGAGATGCTTGAAATTTATCTAGAAATGGTTTAACAACGAAGTGCAAATTGTGTGCTGGAACAGGACACAACAGAAAGAGTTGCACTGGAAAACAGCCACCAACTGCAAATGTGCCATGAGGATCAGATCACATTTGGACAGTTATATGCCATATTTGGTTTATTTTTCTGGACATTTTGATAGAAAGTGTTATGATCATGTATTTAGACAATTTGTTGGACAGTTAGGTCGAAAGATTTTTGTTTCCTATTTAATTTTTGGATAATTAGTTTGTTGTGTAATCTATTTAATGTCAACATTTTGGACAGCTTTTTGGTCATTGAATTTTTTATCACTATTGTGTAAGGTCTATTTCATGTTGCTGTTTCATGATGTTATCTATTGTAATTTTTAGTTTTTTGTTGCTGATAAGTCTGGTTGTTTGTTCATGGTAGAATGATGTTTAACAGTTGTTGCTGTTTATTTGGAGATTGATGGAATGATGTTTGTTGGATGCAAATTGTCTGGTTTGTTGTTGCTGATTCTTGTACGGTCCATCATTGCTTGTGCTTGATTTGAGAACACGGGTGAACATGTCTGCATTCAGCTTACTGATGGCAAGGGCACGTTCTTCTATCGACTGTTTTTACAAAATTCTAATAGGTTAGAAATGATATGTGCCAAATGTTTAAAGGATAGCAAGATTCGTGCCAAAGGTTTAGAAGATATGGATGATTTGCGACAAATGAACCAGTTTTCTTTTTGAACAAACATTAGCAATTAGAATCTCAATTTCAATTCAACATACATTGACAACTTCAACATAGATAACAATACTATATAACACTTTGCGATACACTATAAGAAAATCACATGCTGCCCAAACAATCTTAAAAGTTCTAGTTCTACCATTAAAAATCCACATTACAACAAACCCACAAAATAAATAAAAACCCAACTTCTAAGAGCATATGACATCATGTATCACTGCAATCCAAGGCTTGTTGTTTATATGCATTCCTGGATCTAAGCTGATCAGGTATCATCTTCACATTTTGCAGTATGAAAGGAAAAATTTCGAGAGCAAATCATAATGCACAAGTTTAAAGAGGACGTTGGAGTTCAATAACCAGACGTAATTGGCATGAAAAATGTCTAAGCAATTTGGTTTGTGTCCAAAAGATCTACATCTCAATTTCCATTCCACATCTACATAATGTTCTACATCCGCACACATGATGTTATCATTTCATGATTAATACGATTTGAAGGGAAAGACCATAATTTAGTGTTCTAACCATAATGCCCTTAGAACATTTTAATCAAGTGGGCTGCATATGACCAGTTAACGGGGAAAACTGACAGAATTGGACAACACGGATGAATTGTGCAAGGTTTGATCAATCTGAAGATCCAAATATCAAAATTGGAACAATGTGGATTATTTGCACAAAACGGTCAAGACGATAGAGACGTATTGCGTCAATTATCCAAAAGTTATGTCTATCTAATCTAACAATCCAAACAAGAATATTGGAAAAGTTTCACTCTATAAGCACATGCTTCTCTAAATATACAACATTTGAATTACAAAATCTAAAACTCAATTGAGAGGACATAGTAATCAACAGAATTATTTATAGAGTAGAAAATAAGTGTAAAATTCTGCCTACATATCGGTTTTCATCTCTGACAGAATGGTGCTTGTAAATTCACGGAGTTCGAGCTGTCAACAGTTTTCCTGCTTCCCAAAGAGAGGAAAAAGCTGTTTCTCCAACTCGACTAAACTGGAACAAATAAAATTGGAGATTAACCAAATTGCAAAATAAGCAAATCATTGTAACAGATGCAACAAAAGTGGATTCAGTAACTTACATCTCGTATTTTTGCAAAGCTTCAGCATGTTTCGCTTTGTACAAGTCACTGTCTTTAGATATGCTGCTCAAATTATTACCTGAGAAATTGTGAGTGATAGTGTGTGTTAGACAAGAAACTCAACAGAGCATTAACCCAAGCCAACGTCAACCAAGAAAATGAAAAATAAAAGCATTGGCAAAGCCACCCCCAACCCTCCCACAAAAAAATAATAATAATAAAATAGAAAAATTAAAATAAAATGGAGAAACTCAAAGCAACAACATGACGGCATTTTCAAATGTCGATATGGTTTTTACTCTTTCTAACATTCAACTTTCTCCATAAATGTGGCATCAGACATTTTCTCAGTGAATAAACAAACTAAATCCAAGTACTTCACTTGGGAAATCATTAACATTCCCCTCCCCACCCTTCCATCGCAGGGATACCCAACACCTAAAATTCTAATAAAGCACATCAAAAAAATTAAGAAACAACTGTAAAAGGAGAGAAAATTTGTCTCCACATTTTTCCCGATGTTTTTAATATTCTACATAACACAAAGAACCATGTCTGTCCTTGGTTACTTGTAGTCATTTTTAATCCCACGTATAAAGAGGCATGTGTTTCATAATAGATGCCAGTATTTAGTTAGAGAACTTTAACAGGCGAAAAAAATAATTTATCTTGTTGAATTACTGTAGGAAGTAAATATATAACCCAAGTGGCCCAAAATGTTATGACTATACTGATAAGTAGAATCTTCCTAAATCCTTATATACCCAATCATGCTATTCCCAGAATTGATACAGAATGGAGTAAAATTGAGCCTTTATGAATTCTCCGACATACAATCCATGGTCAAGAACCACCCGACAAGTCCAGGATCCAAGTGAAAAGCAGTTGTAAGGACCCCAGTTAGACTCTTAGCTTTGCCAACATATTAGGCTCAAATTTTTTACTCCTTATCTAATTTCATACAAACACAGTCATGATATTTTTCCACAATCGATATGGAATGGTTGTTAATAAAAATATGTCCTATTTTGTATAAGAAGCACAAGATGTGCTATTTTTCATCGTGGATTTAAAATAAAGAATCTCCAAAAAAAAAAAGAGTTACATCTATTGTAAGCTAATGAATTTGAAAATAGTAGTAAGAAAGAGCAGGGGAACTGGATATGATGAGATCTCATGAATATGATGTGTGGCACTTTGAATCATCATAATTATGTAGTCTTTGATATTGTTGGTAGTAAAAAGGGAATACCAGTAATATATGTTGAAACAGGTGCTTTTGCTTCCATTTTGTTATCGTTCGTAGCAGGAGACACTTTTGTGACTATCAATCCCTGTCCATTTTCAAATGGAGAACGGGTAAATACTACATTCACACTTAAACATATACTATTATCAGTATATATTCACACACTAAAACCAAAACCAAAACCAAAATCAAATTCATTTCTTAAACAGTTTCAAGAGCGAGTTCTACCCAAGTTCTTGCAAAAGTTTCCTTCCGTGAACTCAATTGACAACCCACATTCAAAATTCATTTCTTAAACGACCACTCACTCAAAACTTCAATCAAAACCAATCATAATTCGAAAAACAAAACTGAACAACAAATAATTTTAATAAAAATAACAATTATTACTCCAACAATAACGAATACCTGTTTTTCTTTTCTCTTCAAGATTTTCACATGGCATTTTTTGATATAATGAAACAAATGGTACCGCGAGTGCCTGGAGTATAACTGGTCTCTGATTTCTGGGTTTGCAGTCAACCAATCCAAAACATCTTTGGACTTAATTACCTCGTCCGTCTCCAGTGATTCCAGCCAGGAGTAAACAGGCATCCATTGGTCCGTTCGCTGAAATCTATGATCATACATATTTTCCTGCAGACAGTAAAAGATTACTATAATAGTTTCTTGAAAGGGCAACGGAATCAGGAATTGAAATTGAAATTTATAAACAACTGGGGATTAAAGGACGACTGGGAAATTTGTAAATGCTGGCGGCAGTCCGTTGGGTGGTTAGGTTAGACGAAAAGGGAAAGGAAAAATATTTGGGGGAAATTTTGTATTGTTGTTTGCATCTTTAGTCCTCAATTTCTAGTTAAATATTAAATTTAGTACAAGACTTTTAAAACTCTGAGTTTTCTTTTATTTTCTTATTATTATATTTTTGTCGACCGCATATTTCTTGGCGTTTGCTTGGGAGAGATTTTTTCAAAAGACAAAAAAAATGGGAAAAGTATGATTAAAATTTAGGGAAAAGTCATGAATCTTGTAGAATATATAGTTGTAAATAACTTTAAATAATAATGATGATGATGATGATGATGATGTTAGAAAAGCTCTCAAAAACAAACCCTTATAATGAAATATTTGAGGTGAAGCAAAATTTGCCCAACACTTTAAGCTCGCCAATTTATATTATGTGAAAGTTGGCCCCTTACATTCAAAAATTAAAAAGTTTGACCCATTTGTCCTTATACTTGCGTTTTAAGAATCTTAAGTAACAAAATAATTCAAAATTGAATCAATTTACCTATGTTCTTTAGCCGGATTAATGATAACATTGGGGAAGTTAGTTGGCAAAAGATGTGAATTATAAAACATATCAAAGGAAATGAGGCAATGTCATAGTCACTATATAAATAACCTTTTTGGCTTCATTTATCAATTCACTATTATTAAATTCAGGGGTTTTGGGTTTTGAAGAATTAAAGCTTTTCAATGACAAAAATCGGACTTCGATTTCTCTATGAGAAAGATTTGAGCTTTACACTTACTCAAAGGTCTACTCTTCAAAGAGCAAAGGCATCAAATTAGAGCAATTAAAGGCATCCACTTGCTCAAACATAATAATGTGTTGGGAATTAGAAACTTTAAGTATATACCATCGAGAATAATAAAATCGCCTACAAGAAAACATAAAATTTATAGATGGTCACCTCAATGAAAAACTACATCCGCATCTGCATCTGCAATCATTAACTGCGGTGAAAAGAAATTTACAAGTATTTTATCTATGCTCTCTCTTTTTATGATAATAAATACAAAACTCTAATGACGGCTTCTTATATATAAGAAAATTATGGCAAAATTGAAACTACAAGTATGAAATTTCTAAATAATTCTTAATAAAAATTTGGTTCGTGAACAAATCCTGGAAGACAACCACTTTACCACGAAGGTCAATCAATATACGAACTCTGCACAAAGACAATAATTATGCTTCATAACTTAAAAATCTTCTAGTTGGAGAATATTTCATCATCAATGCCTCTTCTGTAGCATCAACGCATCAATCCTCAAGATAAAAGTCCAACTGAAGTTGTACGTAACTTCAATTTTTCGATTGGAACAGTCTGCCAACATGTCAAGCTGATTCTAACACCTTTAAATCTTCTCATAAGTGTCAAGATTTCATTCTCCAAAATCGATCTGATGATTTATAACATGTATATGTGTCATCCTTGCATGATTAACAGAATTTTTTGCTAGGTGAATAGCACTCTGGTTGTCACAATACATCACAATGTTCCCATTTTTGTAACCCAATTCCACCTAGAAAGACTGCAAACATGTCATCTATTTTGAAGCTTCGACTATAACGACATAATCTAACTTAGTAGTAGAAAGATAAATTATCTTCTAAAAGTTAGACTCTCAACTGATTGTTGTACCACTCAAAGTGTATACATATTTATTATTACTCTTCATGCCATCAATATCCTTGACCATGTTAGCATCTACATAGTCATGTAATCCTAAGTTTGATTTTCTGAAACATATGGCTGAATCTAATGTAACTTTCAAGTACTTGATAATCCACTTTACTACATCCCAATGTTGTTTACCTGAATTGCTCGTATATTTTCTTTCAACTCCTACAACATTTTTGCTATATCTGATCTTGTACACACCATGGCATATAT